CAAAGTTCAACATGTTTCTTCCAACTCAACGAATACGATTCGGATCAATAAACCCCGATTTCCAGAAAAACCAGAGGCTTAAATCATCCATCATCCCGGGATGGTTGATCTGCGGCACTATGTCTGCCAATGCCCATTCTTTGTGGTTCACCCCAGGAATCCTAAGGGGCTTTATGACTAACCCTAATTATAAGTAGCAAAGGACTAGTTCATGGTGGTGATTTTACCCACTCAAGATTCCCGGTGTGAATGCTTGATATCTGGGACCCCAGTATATGTTTATATATCCGTCTTAAAGTCACCTTATGGCTTGATTTTTGAAAAATAATCAGAACACCCCTCCGATTATAAACAATGTTTTTGCTCACATTAGCCAGATAGAATCAGATAGAACTTCTCGTAGCACCTGGTCTCCAACGGTTGCCATGAATTTCTTTCGAACAATCCCAGGCAATAGGTTAGATTAAGGAAATCAACTTGGCTAGTTGTATCCCAGTATGTATACATGTGTATATATATATATACCTCACTAATATCCCATTGGTATCCATTGATATCCTGAAGCGTACAGCTGGAACAGGGGTTATCATTGATCAAGTTGGCTAATTAATGTTCATTATATATCCGATATTAATCCCATTCTATCTTCATTAAGATCCCATCAATATCCGATGTATTTTCCATGGCAAAATGATGAAGGATCATCCCTGATGAATCGGGATAACCTGGCCACAAATGGCATGAATGAATCCGATGATCCCTGATCATATTCCATTAGTATTGCATGGTTAAGTGATGATTTGGAGGACCCGATTGCAGAAACAAAAAACATATCATATATCAGAAACCTTAGTTTCTTTGCAACCAATGTTTCAACAGATGGTTCAAAATAAAGACTGAAATTGTGTTTATAATCCATAATGATCAACACATGATAATCATAGGTATTCCAGGGAATGATCCATTATTCTTTAATTATCTTTAATTCCCTGGAAATCATCAAAATACGTTGCCCTCTGGTAAATTAACATAGACCCTGAAAATGACCAATTTATCGTGGAAACTAGTCTTCCAACCCCCAACTCACGGCAGGGTCTATGTTAATTTACTGGAGGGTAGTTCCCAATAATCAACACATGACCGAAGGAAGTTTAGAAGTCAAACTTCCGACAATATGGACAGATGAAAAGCAGAGCAGGGAAGAGGCAGAGAGAAGAGAAAGATTAGAAGAAAGAAGAGTAGAAGAGAAAGAGTAAGAAGAAAGAAGATGCAGACGCGGGAAAAGGTAGGAAAGTCGCGAAACACTGTGTTTTTCCAATGATTTGGGGCCCCGGAGGGTCGAAAAGTAGGCTCGCTAAAGCGGCGGGTGCGGAGCCAGCTGGCCAGATGAGAGATGAAAAAGTGCACGCCGTTGTGGCGCGAAGCACATTTGCAAGTCAAAATGTAACAAAACACACCATGGTCGGACCACCTTTGGAAGTTGAGATGTCGAAAAAGTGCACGCCGTTGTGGCGCGAAGCACATTTCCAAGTCAAAATGTACAAAACACCCCATGCTCGGACCGCTTTTGGAAGTTCGGATGTCGAAAAAGTGCACGCCGTTGTGGCGCGAAGCACATTTCCAAGTCAAAATGTACAAAGCACCCCATTCTCGGACCACTTTTGGAAGTTGCGATGTCGAAAAAGTGCACGCCGTTGTGGCGCGAAGCACATTTCGAAGTCACAATGTAACAAAAACACACATGGTCGGACGCACTTTTGGAAGTTGAGATGCGAAAAAGTGGCAGCGCCGTTGAGGCCGAGCACATTTCGAAGTCAAAATGTCAAAAACAACTAGGGCTTCGGACCACTTTTTGGGAGGTTTCAGGATGTCGCTTCGCTTCGCTTCCTATAAAAACAAAAAAAAAAAAAAAAAAAAAAAAAAAAACAAAAAAAGGAAAAACACAAAAGACAAAGACGTACCCGAGTCAGGGAGGGGCTCCCCTCCCCTCCCCTCCCCTCCCCTCCACTCTTCCGTCCCCCTCCCCTCCTCTCTCCCCCCCCTCCCCCTACCCCCCTCCCCACCACACTGACACTACACTACCGTCCACTACACTAAATTAGCACTCAACACTAACACTACATTCACTACATCCACTACCCTACAGTAGCACTAGCAGTTACACAGCGATAAGCCTACACTACACTACCTTCCACTACACTTCACTACATTACACTACACTACACTCCACTACACTACACTAAATTACACTACACTACACTACATTACATTACACTACACTACACTCCACTACACTACACTACATACACTACCCTACACTACCTTCCACTACACTACATTACATTACACTACACTACACTCCACTACACTACAACTACAACTACACAACTACACTCCACTACAATACACTCCACTAAACTCCACTACACTAAATTACACTACACTACATTACACTACACTCAATGACACTGCAACACAGATAGACAAGTAGACAGCTAGACAGATAGACAGATGAAAGGGAGAGATAGATAGATAGATAGGTAAATAGATAGGTAGATAGATAGATAGATAGGTAATTAGATAGATACATAGATACATAGATACATAGATACATAGATAGATAGTCAGAGAAAGAGAGAGAAAGAGAGGAGACCTCAAGCACCTTTCGGTCCATCAGTGGCTTCGCTCTGCCATCCCTGATTCACAACAACCAAGCTCTCCTATAGGTTTCCTATTTTTGAAACTTCCGCCACCGCCTTGTGCGGTACTACTGGTACAAATCCATCCATTAATAATGAGAGGGTATATCCCATTAGATCATAGATAAAATAACCAGAGGGTACATGATATGTAGGTACTATACAAGACGATTTGTGATTATTTACATGGACCGTTGTTTTGTCGCACAAATCAAAAAACAACACATATCAATGGACCATATATTTGGTCAATAACGGGTAGTGGCCCATTGGTGGTTAATAATTGCAACTAATTATGACTGTATATATAGCCTCGTCCCTGCTCTTGGAACCGCGCAAACCTGAATTAGGTTGGTAAAACTTGTCAATTCCGTGACGAAATTTAGTCACGGAATTGACAAGTTTCATTAGGGGCATCATCATCATCATCATCATCATCATCATCCCCCCCACCCACGATAATTCACATGAACGTTAACATCCCACCCCACCACCCCACCCCATCGTATGTGGTTCCAGGATCTGGGACGAGCCTATATACATACATATATATATATATATGTGATATGCATAGATATGTCTATCTCTCCATCCAAAAACGCCATAAAATATATCTATATATCTATATATAATTATATGTAATTATGTATATATATATATATATCATCGCTATTTATAGCTACCTTTCCAGGTGGTTACCTTTCAAAAACCATGACCGAACCGCTGGGGCTTCCCCACCAACTTGGCTTTGCAATGGCCGCTCTGGGAATGACCGTAGTAGCCGCCGTAAGCCTGGCCGTGGGCCACCCTGGGCCGCCGTGGGCCGTGGAGATATGTTTAATATCGATACATATCATATAGGGTATAGTTGGATATCTAGTTTTAATGGATTTTTATGCTATCTATTTACACTTTTAGAGAAATAGTTAAATATCTGTGGTTAGAGAAATTTATAGACCAACTTATTATGTATATGTATATATATATATATATATGACTACAGCTATATCCGATCGAATCTCATGAACTAGAATAGTCACAACATACAACAACTACAGTATACATCAACCAACAGAAATGAAGCAGAAAAGCTGAAAAAACATAAAACATATGAAGAAAATATCATATACACCATCCTAGAAATACTTTTCTGTGGTTTTGGGGGTTACTATGTGTATATATATATATGTATAATAATAAATATATATAACAAACATATACATCGCAATAATTCGCGATATAATTAGGGATATAGAATGGGACTAAAAATGTTCTGGAATCTCTCCCCAGATAATGGGGATCAAATCAAATACAATGCGGGTATTTCTACATATATCATGTGTATATATATATATATAACCAACAAAATGAATCACTTTTCATAAATAATCTGGATTCACCCCAGACTAATGGTGATTGACACTATGGATATATCCAACTAGACCCCGATCCCCAGGATGAATCTATTCCCCCCCCACATTTGATGGTGTATCAATGGTTTCTTAATGGTTATCATCATGTTTCCCTGTTTTTACTATATATGGTTTATCAATGATTATCTAGCAGTTTCCCATTGATAAACCACATAAAAGATAGGGAAAACATGAAAACCACCCTTTTCCCATATTTTATCTAGTGCTTTCTCTAGTTTTAACATGTTTCCATGTTTCCCTATTCTTCTAGCAGTAAATCCCACCATTTTCATTTCAGCCACGCCAAGTCACGCGGCCAAACAACGAGCCAGAGAAGGTGTGCTTGTAACAAGCAAGCCATGGGGCCTCGGCGTCTGGTTAAACGTTAGTCATAACCACAGGGTACCCTCTGGTAAACTAACATAACTATGGAAAATCACTATTTTTAATGGGAAAAACAACTATAAATGGCCATTTTCAATAGCTATGTTAAATTACCAGAGGGTAACCTTTAGGTTACGGTTGCCCTCTGGCAATCTGTTACATAGTGATTTTCCATGGGATTTTCCATGGGATATGAATGGGATAAATGGAGATTTAATGGGTTCAACGTTTACAGTTTGCTATTGAAAATGGCCATTCAGTTCGTTGCTTTACCCAGCTACAAAATTGTGGGTTTTTCATGATTTTTCCATAGTTTTTTGTATGTTTACCGGAGGGTAGCCTCCAGTAACTTACGGGATTTATCTCTAATTTAAATTTAAATGCTGGATCTTCCATATCTGTTTAGTTTAGTTCACAAAATGGTGGATTTCACAAACAAGCTGTTTGTCAAATCCACCATTTGTGGGAGTTCAAGGAGCCCATCCACAAGATGGATCACAATGGGCTCCCTGAAAATGACGAAATGGGACTCTAATTGAACAAAACATTCAGAGAACTCCCCATGTGTTTGGATATCTTTAAGGATATGTCCCATTTTTGGGGATATGTTTAAGGATACCATCTGGTTATGACTAACAGTTTGCCACGGAAAATCAGCACCATGCTATTAAGAACGGTAAAATCATCACTATGTCGCCATCATTTTCCATGGCGAACTGTGAACGTCATAACCAGATGGTAGTTAATAGTAATAATCATTCACTATCATTGGGGTTTACTATCATTCACTATGTTAATAATAACCAAATGGTACCACTAAAATATACCCTCTGGTTATGTCAAAATAGCTATTGAAGCCATGGCCATAGAAATAGTTGATTTACCCATTAAAAATGTTGGTTTTCCATAGTTATGTAAACGTTTACCAGAGGTTTACCATAGTTAACAAAACTGTTGGAGGACCAATCCCTCTGGGGCTCTCAGAGGTCAACCACTGCGATTTGTTTAAAAAATGTTGCCCTGATGTGACCCCCAGCCCCACTTTAAGTAATGATAAGCAAAAAAATCAAGCGCAAGTTGGTGGGCTTAGGCCATAGCATACCTGAAGAAGTTGGTTGTTCTTTCTGAACCAGACTTACTACTGCTTGGTGGTTGAGCCCTACCCCTCTGAAAAATATGAGTGAAAGTCAGTTGGGATGATGAAATTCCCAATATATGGAAAAACAAAAAATGTTCCAAACCACCAACCAGTTAGTGTTGATGGTATATCCCAAGAAATCACCATAAAATGCCTTTGGATCATTAATATGAGTGGCATCATCAATGATTTCCGGGAATATCAATGACAAAATCACTAAAAAAATGATTCTCGATATCATAGTGTATAATTAGCATATAGACTATCATTGACGTCATAACTAGTCTTTAGATCATTAGATTTAACCAGAATTACAATCCTACATTAAACCTGCATCTCATCCATATAATCCTACATTCTTCAATCGGTTTATCTGTGTACATATATATCATAGTGTTATATTATATCATAGAGTTACACCATTGATATCAATATCAAATTGATATGTATGTTTATGTATGTTTATGTATGTTTATGCATGTTTATGCTGGCGGCTGGTTTACCGTACGTGCGTTTTCATGTTTTCTTTGGCCGATGGGGTGGGGTGGGTTGGGGTGGGGTGGGCTAATAACGTTCAATGGCACTAGCACACATACTTGATGCTACACGTCTCTTGCACTTGCACACATACCTGATGCTACGCTACCGACCCCTCCTCTTGACTTGCACACATACCTGATGCTACGCTACCGACCTCGTCTCTTGCACTTGCACACATACTGATGCTACTACGCTACCGACCTCGTCTCTTGCACTTGCACACATACCTGATGCTACGCTACAGATGGGTTGGGGTGGGGTGGGGTGGGGTGGGCTAATAACGTTCAATGGCACTAGCACACATACGTGATGCTACGCTACCGATCTCTTGCACTTGCACACATGATGCTACGCTACCGACCTCATCTCTTGCACTTGCACACATACCTGATGCTACGCTACCGACCTCGTCTCTTGCACTTGCACACATACCTGATGCTACGCTACCGACCTCGTCTCTTGCACTTGCACACATACCTGATGCTACGCTACAGATGGGTTGGGGTGGGGTGGGGTGGGGTGGGCTAATAACGTTCAATGGCACTAGCACACATACGTGATGCTACGCCACCGGTCTCTTCTCTTGCACTTGCACACATACGTGATGCTACGCTACCGACCTCGTCTCTTGCACTTGCACACGCCGAGACTCTTCGAGCGAACATGCAGTGAAAGTGCTGCGCCAGAAAAAAACCGAAAAGTCCGAATTTTTTGTTGTCTCCCTGTGGCGAAACGCAAATCCATCAAAAAACAAGGCATCCTGAAACAGCCTCTTTCTACTCCTGGCGTTCACAAAAGCCTGCAAATACAAGTGAAAAATGATGAAAAAATAAAACACAATGGAATTAGCCACATTTTGTGACCAAACATGATGATGATTGCTTCAAAAGTCCTGCAAATACCAAGAGATAAACATGAAGGTCATCAGAAAGACTCTTGAGAAAATGCCAAAACACACGCGCGGTAAACCAGGCGCCGGGATGTTTATGTATCTTTATGTATGTTTATGTATGTGTATGTATGTCTGTATGTATGTCTGTATGTACGTATGTCTGTATGTATGTATGTCTGTATGTATGCATGCATGTAATGTAATGTATGAATGTATATAGGTAGGTAGGTACGTACGTATGTACGTACGTATGTAAGATATTTAATGATCATCCACTAAGATATGCTATTAATCCATAAACATCATATCATAGAGTTATATCATTGGTATCATCGTGTTCTATCACCAGATCATCATTGACGAATATTCATAAGTACTTAATCCATTAATCCATGAATGATCCATTAATGATCCATTAATCCACTAAGATTTATGGTAAAAATATCCTGGATTATGTCGGATTAATCCATGGGAGAGAGTTATCATTCCATGGGATCCTATTGGATAATTGATAGATGGGATTATGTTGGATATTTCATAGATAATATGTTTCCATATGATTCTCCATTTATTATATTTTATTAATTCATATCATAATTGATATGTATATATATATATAGAGATAGAGATAGATAGATAGATAGATAGATATTTGTTAATCCATTTATGGTAACCCACTAGACATTCCTGGATTATAAACATTTATAAACCATAAAAAAAAATCATGAAAAATACTGGATTAATCCATTTATGGATGAAAACTTGTCCCCAGATGTTTTCCACTGGGCTCTCCTGGCGCAGGGCTTTTGCCCGGCTCCCAATCCAGTGATACCGCTGCAGGGCTGGCCCTCGGCCGTGTAGTCTTCCAATTTCACACCTCAATGCCAGAACGAGATCATCAAGTAGTTATAATATTATATATCCTTATGTAGTTGTTCAGTTTTAGTATGGTATATAGATATATATATATATATACACACAATTATAGTATGTTATATCGCTGTATATTTTCGTATGTTATATAGTTATGTAGTTATAGTATGTTATAGTTATAATTTATATTTACCCTCTGGTTATTTAACATAGCCATGGAAAATCACCATTTTTAATAGATAAACCATCTATAAATGGGCCATTTCCCATGGCTATGTTAAATAACCAGAGGGTATTTATATGTTAATTCCCCAACTACAGATATTTCTGGAGCAAAAATCCATGCGGATCATGCCGGGTCTTTCCGAAGTGGCAGCGAGAAATTCACCCGTGGAAAACATTACCATCTGGTTATGGCCAACAGTTTGCCATGGGAAATCCCAACCATAAATGGAGGTTTTAATGGGAAAATCATCTATAAATGGGCCATGTTCCATGGTTTTTAATGGTCTATAAATGGGCCATCTATACCATGGCTATGTTAGTCATAACCAGAGGGTAAATTTAGCGTACAAACCATATGTTTGGCCATATATGGCCATATCCAATTAACAATCGTCCTCCAAAGCCATCTTCTGGGTATGGCCAAATGATCTGAAAGTATATCTTGAAGGATTTTTACACAACTAGGTTCTGAAAGGATATCAACCGGTTGCGAAAACATAACCGGTTGCGAAATTGAATCTCATGGCTTTTTCGTTTCCTTCTTGTTTTTTCTCATAAAACAAAAACATCAAAAAAATCAAATATCATTAAAAAAACACTTTACCAAACTTATTCATCACATTCCCACATTTTTCCCATCACTTTCAGGCCATAAAATGAACTCATCAAAGCACTGACTGTCCGCGACAAAAACAGCCGTTCCGCCCACCGCAACAGACCGGCCGTTCCCGTTCAAACTTAGACATGGCACTGGCCCATGCAGAAGAGGAAGCCAAGGCCTGAAAGCTGAAGTATAGCAACCACAAATCATAGATATAGTATAGGTTATGATGGTTAGAAAGGATAACATATCTCTATTATTATATACCATATATGGTTATTATCCTTATAGGCATAGATAATATATTGCTTATGATGGTTAGAAAGGATAATATATGATAATGTGGGATGCCACCAGCCTTCTCGATTCAAATCTTTAGTTCGCTGATGTTCGCTTTTCTGCATACGTATTCCCCACCAAGGCCTTTTGAGATCCACGGATATCCAATGCTACCCTAAGGTCACTATCTCAAGGATGAAGTAGTGTTTTTTCAAATGGAAACAATTCGTTTCATGAATATCTACATCATTATGTATCATTATGTATCATCATTTATGGAAACAATATGAAACAATGTTTCATAAGTAGTAAATTCATCCCCCTCTATTTTTGGAGGTTACTTCCTCTATAAACACCCCAGCGATGTCTCCATCGGTGGTCTATTCGGACATCGTTCGTTTCCGAGTTTCCGTCCAGCTTCGGACGCCAAGCGTTCGTGAAAGGTGATTCCAACCAGATAACCATTGGAAAAGTGCTGGTTTATGAATGGTTTTCTTGTGGTTATAGTTATAAGATGTTATGAATGGTTGTATGTATCATATTCATATTCTTGTTGGTGGTTTTTCGTCCTACCCCTCTGAAAAATATGATGGAGTTCGTCAGTTGGGATGATGATTCATTCCCAATTAATATGGAACGTCATTCAAAATTCCATGGTTCCAGTCACCACCAACCAGTGATTATTAACCATCTACTAACCATTATTAACCATTATTAACCAGCATTATCCCATACATTTCACCAATGTTCCAGTCATGATCCCAACCACCAACCATGTCATCTAACAGTGGAAATGGCAATGGAAAAACCCTCCGGTCATCAAGCACTGCGGTAAATGTGTGGATTTTTTGTGGGCACATCAACTAAATGAATGGGTGATTTTCCTAACAGCCACGTTTGATTACCAAAGTGTTTTTACATGTTTGTTGTTTTTTGGATGTTCCAAACTTGATGAATCAAACATCTTGATGTATCCTCGCCATGTTTATGTTTGAAGCGTGGAAGATGTTTTTTAGGTTCCAAATTGTGTGACAACTCCTGTCACGACCAAATCGATTTGTATATGGGGCACGTCAGTGTAGTTCGAGTACTAATGGGCGCCAACTTTGAGTCATGCCTAGTTTCCACATGTTTCCTCTAGTAACTCTAGATCTTTGGAAACATTCGGAAACATGCGGAAACATTCGGAAACATTCGGAAACTCAACTGTTGTGACTGTTGTTTCTCGTTGTTGGTTTCCTATTGGTTTCCGAATGGTTTCCTCACCATCATCTCTCTGGGACCCCGACGCCGATCTGAGAGCCCATATATGGATGAGGATACGCCATATGGCCATGATAGAACGGGTGAGACCCAGCGCCCGAATAGTATGGATGCTGGTACTTGTATGGCCCATACTTGGGGTAGCCATACTTGTGGTAGCTGTGGTAGCCACGCAAGTGTCCTGCATGATGAGGAAGGAAGCGAAGGAAGAAAAAAAAACGCTACCCTGGTTGCTAAGGATACGAAAAAACAATTCAGATCTGATGAAGATTATCTCAAGGTCTACGTCTCAAAATGTTTCGCTATACATATAATTATCTATATATATATATAATCATATATAGTACATATTATGTAACATGTATATTATGTATGTATATCATGTTATGTAATTATATTTGAAGTAATCATATACATTGTATCTTTGTAGGATCTCTGCAAGAGTCCGATTTCAGGATGGTGTGTCTAGCGTTTCTTTCGTCAATAAACACTTTGGCAATGCTGGGGCCATGGCGGACATTCCCAAAAAAATGTAGGCTTTCTGGCATCTCGGGATTTGCAGATTCTCAAAAAGAACATCTGTTGATATGTAATTACCCATGACGGATCCATGGTGCTGCTATATATGGTGTGCCATAGATCCCATCAATATACCCCCTTTATGTTAGCATATATACCAGCACCATGGATCCGTCATGGGTTACCCTCTGGTAAATTAACATAGACCCTGGCAGATAGGGGTTGGAAGACTAGTTTCCATTAAAAATGGGTGATTTTCAGGGTCTATGTTTATTTACCAGAGGGTACTAGACTATCCATCCAGGAAATCCACAGAAAAACCATGGTTCATCGAAAAGACTGTCACAGGGGGAAGAAACCAAAACTGGGAATCCGCCAACATCCAACAAGCCTGTCATACCAAGCGGAAGTTTCACCCCGACCCAGTGATTGTTGGATTAGGGGAATCCCTGCTATTATGGCTATGGCTATTCTTTATGTAATTTTATGTATAACTTTGTACAACGCTTTTATGTTATGCATGAGGTGCTAACTGTACATACATTCGGGTGTGTCTACTTGGAAGTTGGAATCATAGCTAAGCTATACCTGCACTAGACCTACCTGCATATGCCATAGTGGGGGCTCAGGGGTCAATATGTTTTAACTTGAAATCCCCATGACATTTTTGGTGTATATCAGCATTAATTATAATATATGCGCATTTTCTAACGATGGAATGATGTGGGATATGACTGGGATATTTTGTGGATTCTATATTACAGACATAATTGTAACAGCATTCGGTATTTGCCGTTTTGATATTCCATTACTGTCCGGTAATTTAGCATAGCTGTGGACAATCACCATGGAAATGATACCCTCCAGCAAATTGAACATAGCTGTAGAAAATGGCCTGTTTACAGATGATTTCCTACTATATCACCTATATCCATGGTGATTTTGAATAGCTATGTCAAATTACTCAAGGCTAAATACACCATTTATAGTTGTTATAGTTAATCTTCCCGTTAAAGCCTCCATGTGCCTCCATATGCCTTCATTTATCGATATGTAGAATAAATCTTACCTCATTTCCCTCGCGAAATCTGCTAACTCCACCGATGTTCATGGGGAAACTCCAGATGAATCCAGATGTCGAAAACTCGGACTGTCCTGTGGCATGGCCACTCACACACTGCTTTTGGTGACCTGGCCGGAAATCGTGGGAATCTTCTGGCGATGTTTTTTGGAAATGTCTTAAGAATTTTAAGATGTGGCATCTGAAATGATTGTAACTTATTCATGATTTTGTTTAATAGGCTGCAGACATGCACATTTCCGAAAACCCCAAGACTCGATCCCTCTCAGTATCCGCATGAATTGACGCATGAATTGAAGTTTTCCTGTGGGAATCTCTCACCTGAACATCGGCCGTTTTTTTTCCGGCGGATTGCATAAACTCGGGTTTCGTATACGAATGCAAAGCCCCTTTACTAATGGTTACCCTGGTTGATGAATTACGAATGGATCATCCAACTTAGTACACCCGGACGTGAAAGTCAGTGCATATGTGGAACCAAGGTAAAAACTGCATGGGACGCCGCGCATTCAGGAAGTCAAACAAGTCAATGCAACCAGGTCTAAAACTGCATGGGACGCACTATGTAGAAGTGTTACTTTTAGATCCCTGGCAATGCACTTTTCTATTGCCAAATTTTCCAAATCCCCATCAGGACGCGTGTGCACAGTTACGTCCCATAATCTTAAAAATATATGGCAAATTTTCCACATCCCCATCAGGACGCGTGTGCACAATTATGTCCCACAATCTTAAAAATATATATATCCACGGATGTTAAACACCATGCGGACGCTTATCCAAACATGCACATTGATACCTACGCCATTTACTAGAACTTGCGCCAGCCGCATGGCACACCGCTTACGCCAGACATCACTAATCTTCCGCCAGGTGGAAATCCTATTGGCACACCGACGGTCAAAGTGGGCTAATTCTGAGGCAGGCAAAAGCTTCCAGCCCTTTCACAAATCTCTTGCTTCTCTGCCCAAAAAAAGCGCCTTGCCCAGAAGCAGCAACACAAGCAACAACGACAGCAGCAGCAGCAGACCATTGCAAAGCCTTTCCAAAACCTCTCCGGGTTGGGTTTTGGCTGGCTGCAATTTTAACGAGGTCCGAACGAGGTCCGAACGAGGTGCAAACGAGGTCCAAACGAGGTCCGAAATCAGATTTTGGGAGACTGGCCCCCTAAGTCTCCTGACAAACTCTTTGGTAGCCACACGCTTTCGCATTCTTTTCAGAACAGTTAGACTCAAGAGCTTTCAGCGGTGGAGCAGAAGAGGAAACCAAGCCAAGCAGCAGCTGCAGGCAAGAGCAAGGAGAGAGAAGAGGAGACAAAGGGCGAGTAAGGGAGACAGAGGGGAGACAGAGGGGAGACAGAGGGGAGACAGAGGGGAGACAGAGGGGAGACAGAGGGGAGACAAAGGGACGCAAGCTTGGCAAACAAGTATACAATTGCCACGACTTTCATCTTTGGGAGTATAGTGGGTAAACCCAAAAAGATATGACAGGTAAGCGTCGTGTGCCTATGCGAAGTGCCAAAAAATACATCAGTAAGTTAAAGTGATAGGCGCTGCCCATGCGGGCCTTTCCCCATAGGCACTTGTTATAACATCGACCCAGTATTCGTCGGTGTTTGTATGAATCTTGCACAACAGAGCGAGCCACAAGTGATGTACAAAACTCCCAAAACACAAGGGAATAGCTACAACCATCTGCATGGTATCCATGAAAAACTCACGATAAACCATCAATTGGAGAAAACACAAACATGCTAAACACCAACTGGACGCAACATCGCACCGACTTCCAGAAATTTCTCCCCCACCTAGGACGCACATTTCATTGAAACGCATTGACTTCCACAACTAGGAGTAAGTGGTTACCATCTGGTTTCTACGTTTACACATCACGAACTGGAAAGATCCACCATTTTATAGCTGGGTAAAGCAACTCTTTCTATAATTCTATAGCCATGGCTTCAAGTTCGCAAAGTGTTTTTCCATGAATGACATTCACAGGGCTAGCCATGGAAAATCACCACCATGCTACTAATCTTCGGTGTTTACCATCAACAAAAAATTCTATTTCGATTAGGGCCAACTGTTAGTCATAACTATGGAAAATCACCATGTTTCATGGGAAAATCCACTATTTCTATGGTGATGTTCCATCTATTTCGGCCAATTAGGGCCATGGCGCAACAAACCATGGCTAGCCCTGTGAATGTCATCACCAGGAGCCCCGAGTATTGGGATGATCCTCCGGAGATGGCCAAAGGATGGCCCGCTTAAATGGCCCGCAAATGGTAGACCCGGTAGATATAACAAACTGGTTTTTATGGTGGTTATAATATGTTATACCCTCTGGTAAACAAACATAGCTATTGAAAATGGCCATCTATAGTGGATTTACCTATTAAAAATGGTGATTTTCCATAGCTATGTTATAACCCATGACGGATCCATGTATATACATGTATATACTATATATGCTAACATGACTGGGGTATATTGATGGGATCTATGGAGCACCATATATAGCAGCACCATGGATCCTATGGGTAATGGTTTATAAACCAACAAACATAACTGCGGGGGCCCATAAAAGCCATCCTCCACTGGTAAACCATGACATTACTTGGACATATCTAAGTAACCGGCGCCGTTTTTGTCGGAGATTGACACCACTACTCTGTCATAAACTATTGGGATTCAATGACTATTGTGATCATTTGATTCATTTGTGATCCATTTTGCCAGATCTTCTGGAAAAACATCCCAAAAACATTTCGAAAAACCATCCTCACGATGGGTCGGATGGGTCAAAACCAGCTATTCTGACCTTTTCTGACTGGGGGACGAAACATTCAATGGGAGATCTCCAGGATCCTAAATTGGAGGTACGTTAGTACCACATTATGTGGTAGGTACCCTCTGGTAATTTAACATAGCTATAGAAAATCACTATCTTTAATAGGTAAACCATCTATAAATGGGCCATTTTCCATAGCTATGTTAGTTTACCAGAGGGTACCTCCAATTTAGGATCCTGGAATTGCCATTGAACCATCCATTAACATGCGCTATTTTCGAGTATCGTCTGGGCGCCAGAGTTTCGATCGCCAGGGTTTGTCTGAAAAATGACCCGGTCTGGTAAACGTTTACAGTTTGCGAACTTGAAGCCATGGCCCAGTCGAAATAGTGGATTTACCCAACTAGAAAATGGTGGATCTTTCCATAGTTTTTTGTATGTTTACTAGAGGGTACCCAAAAAATTGCTGGCTAATTATATATATTTTTCCAATTAAACAGCTATTTTTGGGGTATTCACCATATTCAAACACAGCGAATGTATGAGCAACCATTGGGATATTGTACGACTATTATTTTTTGTATAGTACAATTACGCGCAAACACCCTGATTCGCCCACACCCCTTTTATACCCTACCATTGGGTTGACTTTACATGCAATTAGGAAGATAATGTCCCACCCCCGTTAAACTTCTACATTCAATGGGGAAGATCAACAAGGGTATTTAGGGAATATTAAACTCCCACCCCCGTTAAACTTTACATTCAATTGGGAAGATCAACAAGGGTA